GGAAACAAAACTTCAAGACCACGGCCACACAGCCCGGAAGACCCACACCAGCCAAAAACTGCCTTCTTGCAAATTTGTCATAAGTGGTTAAGAAAACACAATAAGCAAACAATAAGCAAATCAACACACAAAATGAGAAGCAGGCATACTGAAATATGGACGTATTCTTACCCCAGAGCACCCACAACATTTACAGTCTCCACAGACAGTTCCAAAGAGACCATTGATTGCCTGAATGGCACACAAGAGCAGTTGAATTCCACTCATTATCAGCAGCAGAGAGAAGAGTGTCAGATTCCAGGGCACAATGGATTCTGGTGACTGGCAACGGTTCCATAAATTATGATCCCCAAGGTAATCCCTGTGGGGGAAAAAAAAGAATAGTTCTCTCTTACAGAAGCCATTGCCTACATTTTATGTTTACTTTGCTAGCTCATGTGTGCCATAATCTAGGGTGGATCTATGCACATCATAAAATAGTATTGATCTAATGGTACCCACTGGGTTCTGTGGGGAATAAAACCGATACCCATTTGAGAAAGGACTAAGCTGTATCTTGCTGGATGTAATGGATTTCCAGAAGCACGTGGGTAGTGAAATACCTCCCTCCCTCTCAACAATTTTTTTTTCAGAAATGTTCCCATACGGTCTGCATGGTTCAGTTTTTTAAAAACTCCTTTGGCTACACTTTTAACAACTTTAAGTTATGAAAGATCTAGTCCAACAAATCTGGAAGGAAAATGACTAGTCAAGGAAGCGCTGCTGGAATGGAACACAACAGGAATTGAAAGTAGGATCCTTCATTGTTAAAGTGTGATGTTCCACTGCCTCAACGATTCATCAGAATGATTTTCTTAATTCACTTATTAATAAGAATTAAATAGTCCGGTAAAGTTTCCAAGGGAGCTAATGAAGGCAAATTAATAGGAATGAATGAATGAATGAATGAATGAATGAATGAATGAATGAATGAATGAATGAATGAATGAATGAATATGCAGCCAGAGCTAATTATGTTCACACGGGTTGCTAGATACAATGACAGGGGACTTGAAGCTATTATCAATAAGAGATAAGAATACTTGGTCTTTGAAAATGATTATATCCCAATATTTCTCACACATTTTGAGGACTGAGCGTAACCCAGTGGTCCACAATACTTGCATAGTACTTTTGTGAGTTCATATGGGAATAAGCATTTCTTCTAAAATTACCTTATTTTGTCAGATCAACAGAACTCAGATAATGATAACTTTCTACCAAATGGTCCTTATTTAGATCTTTAGGAATGATAAATTTCAGGAAAGGTGTTAGCCGTCTATAGTTTTTTCTGTGTTATACTGAAGCTTATACTTTTGCCATTCTATATTTTTTGCTATGGCTTCTTTTCTATATCCAAATAACAAATCAATCCAGAGTTATCACTCAAAGCACAAACAGACTCAAATTATCATATTTTGGACACATTATACAAAGACTTGGGTCTCTTGAGAAGTCTATAATGCTGGGAAAGGTGGAAGGAAAGAGAAGAAGAGGGTGACCAGCAGCAAGGCAGATGGACTCAATTGCAGCAGTGATGGCTGTACTTTTGGAAGTCCTGAAGTGCCAGGTTAGGGGCAGATCATCCTGGAGATGGTCTATGTGGTCACTAAAAGTCAACACTGACTTATGGCACATAATCTTTTCTATACATTCTTATGCATTTTTTTTTAAGTGAGATTACAGCATGCCTTGCCACAGCTATCCCCAACAAGATGCCTTCAGTTTAGGTGGACTACAATTCCCACCCTTCATGAGGAAGCTGTAGCCCCACACATTTGAAGAGCATTGACTGAAAAAGGGGGTCTTTCAGTAACATCAAACACTGTCAATCACGTTGCTACATAATGACTACATAATAATATATAATAATAATAGTAAATAATAACAATAACAATAATAATAATAATGTTAAAATATCTTACCCATTGTTAAATGGATAGGCCCAGTTGCTACTATTGTTGCTATCAATGTTACACTTGGGGCCTTTGTTCAAAGCCACAATTGACACAATAAAACTGTATCCAGCACCCACAATTCCAACTGCTGCAAATATGATAGAAGTAAACATCTGCCAACAACAAGAGAAAAGAAGAGCTCAAACCAATGCCTAAAGTTGGCATATTTACATAATTACCTGGTTTATTTTACCCACAAATGGCATATGAAAAAGGTAAGAAATCACTGTCTCTAAATCTACTGAAATTCCTCAGTTCAAGGACCATATGGTAGGTCATGGCAGATGGCATGAACTCTAAATCTTTAGAAATTAAATTCAGTGGACTAAAGTAGTTGACATGGCCTTATAGAAGGCTGAGCCTTGTGACCTGCTCAAGACCTTAGTCCAGAGCTTTTAACTTTTAATTTGCTTTTAATGAAAGCAACTTTATGTCCCTTTCTCCTGGGGGATATAGCCAAATATTTGGCCCCCTTTATTTCCTGAATCTGATCACTACTTGCCAGTATTTTCAAAAACACTGAAATAATTGTTAAGACAGCTTGCCCAGCTTCCAATGCCTTGAGTGTAACCCACAAAGCCGCATCAAATTTTGCAACTGGATTACAATTTTAAATCTAGCAGAAGAGAGAAATTATTAAGTATAGAGGGAAAAACCATACAAAGTCTAATTATGAATTAACTCATTACAATCTACATTCAATTTAATTAAATCAAGTTTTATCCTGGTCCCAATCCCTTTGGGGCAGTAGCATCGGGGGGAGGGTCAAAAAAAAGACAAGCTATGTCTCTGGAATCTAGCTAGTTAAGAAAAAAAGGCAGCTTCCCTAAATTAGGGTTAGGGTTAGGGTTCGGCCTCCTTGAAGTCAGGGCCCAAATCCGACCGGACGCTAATAATCGCACCCCCTTTCTATGCAAAGGAACATGGGAAGCTAAACTTTCTGACTTATTTTGGAGCGTGGGCACTATGCATGGGAAAACCCTGTTCCCAGGCAGCTTCCCTAAATTAGGGTTAGGGTTAGGGTTCGGCCTCCTTGAAGTCAGGGCCCAAATCCGACCGGACG